TTTTTGAGACAATCCTAACAATCCACGTGATCTATCCCGGAATATTTCTATTCCTATCACGTAAGATGCCCCACCCATATCTTTCATTTCAAAGTTTTTTGAGAGATAATTCTTAGTTTTGCACAATAAACCTAGATCACTGCTAGCAAGCAGAATATCATCAACATATAGAATCAAAAATATAAACTTACTCCCACTAATCTTCTGGTATATACACCGGTCAACAGTGTTTTCTTTAAAACCAAAAGTAGTAATGATATCATTGAACTTTGTATACTATTGTCGGGAGGCTTGTTTAAGTCCATATATTGACTTCTTAAGTTTACAGACCATGTGTTCTTTCCCTTCTAATGTGAAACCTTCAGGTTGATCCATGTAGACTTATTCTTCTAAACTCCCATTTAGAAAAGCAGTTTTCATATCCATTTGATGAAACTCTAAATCATAATGAGCTACTAATGCCATAATAATTCTAAAAAAATCCTTCTTAGATACATGAGAGTAGGTTTTTTTTATAATCAATGCCTTCTTGCTGTGTAAAACCTTTGGCCACAAGTCTGGCTTTATATCGTTCAATATTGCCATTCGAGTCAAGTTTAGTCTTAAAGACCCATTTACACCCGACTTGATTGTATCCTTCGGGCAATTTAACGAATTCCCAAACTTCATTTTGTTTCATTGATTTCAGCTCTTCATTCATGGCATTAATCCATTTAATAGAATCATTACTGTGAATTGCTCATGAATATGTAACCGGATCTTTATATATCCCTATATCAAAATCAGATTCTTGTAGATATACCACATAATCATCTGGCATAGCAGATTTTCACTCTCTTTGAGACCATCTTAATGTTATTCTTTGTGGTTCTTCTATAACTTGTTCATTGGTGATAATCTCATTATGGAGTTGTAAGTTCAACAACTGGAGGAATAATTATTTCTTTATAAGTTACGGATAAAGGGAGTTGTACCCTAACTTCTTGAATGATCACATCTTTAAGTGTATGACTCCCACTGATTTCACCATTCTTAATGAATCTGGCATTACCGATTTCCACAATTCTCGTACTATGTGTAAGACAATAAAACCTGTACCCTTTGGATTTTTCAGGATAACTAATAAAGTATCCACTAATTGTTCTAAAATCCAATTTTTTTTCATGTGGATTATAAACTCTAGCTTCCGCTGGGCAACCCCAAACATGCAGGTTCAAAAGGAGTCTTTGGAACTGGCTTACTAGGAACCCTATTCAATACATACATAGTGGTTTTAAGAGCATTCATCCACAATGATATGGGTAATGAGGAATTACTTAACATACTCTTAACCATATCCATTAGGCTATGATTACACCTTTCAGCTACACCATTATGTTGTGGCATACCTGGCATAGTGTATTAAGCACATATGCCAAGCCTTTGAAGGAGTTTAGCAAATCATCCAGGACATTGTCCTGTTTCATCATACCTTCCATAATATTCACCACCTCTATCTGACCTTATGATTTTCACATTTCTATCTATTTGTCTTTCAACCTCAGTAATAAATATGTCAAGAGTGTTAAATGCCTGAGATTTTTCATGTAACAAATAGATATAACCATAACGTGAAAAATCATCAATAAAGGTGATAAAATATTTTTCTCCACTAAAAGATGGAACATCAAAAGGTTCACAAATGTTTGTATGAATAATTTCAAGGAGCTCCTTACTTCTTGTGGCACCTTTGTTTGTGTGTTTGGTTTGTTTCCCTTCAATACAATCCACACACACCAAAATCAGTAAAATCTAGATTTGGAAGAATCCCATTTTTTACCAATCTCTTCAATCTTTCACTAGATATATAACCTATTCTTTTATGCCACAAAAATGATGAATTTTCATTTATCAAGCCACGCTTAGTTCCAACATTATGATACTCAACAAACAAATTATCAAGCTTTAATTTGTACAAACCATCGACAAGAATACCCGAACCAATAAATTGGGATTGCTTGAACAAACTGAAATTTCCATTGCCAAATTTAAAGGAAAAACCATCAAAATCAAGTTTGGATATAGAAATTAAATTACGGGATATTGAAGGAGCATAAAGGGTTTGAAACAAATCCAAATGAAAACCACTATCTAATAATAAACGAAATGTGCCAATGGCTTTAACTGGAACTTTTTCCCTATTCCTTGTGAACAAAAAAGTATTACTTGGATTTGTGGTAGAACCTGAATCAATCCACCACATATTAGAAGGAATTTCAATAAATTTGATTCGAAACATACAAAGCCAAAGGCTTACCCTTCTTTTCGAACCATTGCTTATGCTTAATGCAATCTTTCTAAAAGTGTTCAGGCTTCTTACAGAAATAACACTTATTATTCTTGTGTTCCTTCTTATGAGCAGATTGATCAGATTCTGTCATATAGGACTTTTGATGCCTTTTTTAGACTTATTCCCATATTTTCGTCCAGCTCCTTGAATTGTGAGATGAGCAACACGATTACCTTGCTGCTTTAATCTTGCCTCCTCTTGGACTAACATAATGGCCAATTCATTCACATTCCACTTATCCTTGAAATGGCCCATATTGAGTAGGCAAGGAATTTAGGATAAATTTGACAAGAAAAAACACTCATCCACAGTTATTCCCACGGACTTTAGTCTAGCAGCAAGATTAGTCATCTTAAGAACATGATTATGCTTGGTACGTGTACCATTAAAACGTATGGTTGTAAGATCAAAACGTTCTGCTATGTTTTTCAGATATTCCTTATCACTAAAATATAAGTTTTTTCTTTGAATAGTGGCTTATCCACTAATGGTATTCCACTACCATTCATAATGATATCCCACAACATTCTCTTTATCGCCCACTCATCCATCATTATTATGTTTCTTCTCTTTACATCTCACTTATTCTTCATCTTTATTATCTTCTTACTATTTTAATTAAAAGCATGATTTGGCAAGATTCCTCTACTTGATGGTTAGTAAGGAATTGTGCCTATAAATAGTGAAGGTTGGTCCTCTCTAGCCCATTAAATACAAGTGTATAATTGCCATCATTTATACACATTAAATACAAGTGTATAATTGCCATCATTTATACACATTATAGATACAACACGATTGGATGAGCAACATGATTACCTTGCTACTTTAATCTTGCCTCCTCTTGGACTAACATACTAGCCAATTCATTCACATTCCATTTATCCTTAATAGTGTTATAATGAATTTGAAATGGCCCATACTGAGTAGGCAAGGAAATACACATTATAGATACAACACGATTGGATGAGCAACATGATTACCTTGCTGCTTTAATCTTGCCTCCTCTTAGACTAACATACTAGCCAATTCATTCACATTCCATTTATCCTTAATAGTGTTATAATGAATTTGAAATGGCCCATACTGAGTAGGCAAGGAATTTAGGATAAATTGGACACGAAAAAACTCATCCACAGTCATTCCCAAGGACTTTAGTCTAGCAGCAAGATTAGTCACCTCAAGAACATGATTATGCTTGGTACGCGTACCATCAAAACGTATGGTCGTAAGATCAACCATTAATTTTCTTGCAAGAGATTTATCTGCAGTACGAAATCGTTCTGCTATGTTTTTCAAATATTCCTTAGCACTAAAATGTAAGTTTTTTCTTTGAATAGTAGCTCATCCACTAATGGTATTCCACTACCATTCATAATGATATCCCACAACATTCTCTTTGTCGCCCACTCATCCATCATTATTATGTTTCTTCTCTTTACATCTCACTTAGTCTTCATCTTTATTATCTTCTTACTATTTTAATTAAAAGCATGATTTGACAAGATTCCTCTACTTGATGGTTAGTAAAGAATTGTGCCTATAAATAGTGAAGGTTGGTCCTCTCTTCAGCCCATTAAATACAAGTGTATAATTGCCATCATTTATACACATTAAATACAAGTGTATAATTGCCATCATTTATACACATTATAGATACAACACATAAGTGAGTAAAGTGTGTAGGTTGGATTATTGATTAATCCAAGAGGTGATTATTGTTCGTTCGATATCTCAACATTTCCGCACATATGGATCAAGGTATTTATGACTATACATTATTTATGTCATTGTATTTTTAAATATAATAATGGATTTTTGATAAGTTCTTTAGCTCGTGTGTAGGGGATAAATTTTAATGAAAGGCGTTCTGCGTTCATTTATTCACAATCTGAAGTACAAAAGTAAGCAGGCTTAGCTTGTGTATAGACATTGCTGTTACAAATTGAGTATTACCATTTAGATTCTACAGTACGTGCATATTGACGTGCACCAAATTCTAACCGTGGGTTACTTATAGGGATTATCAAGAGAAACAAACTTAGCAACCTTCTCCGGAGATTTCTACAAGCTCATTGTATCCTCCAGGCTCCATCTGTTGTTAATTCACCAAGTTCTTCTTGTCCCTCAGCATGATATTATACTTTCTTCTTGATGTTTTTCTTATTGAAATTTTGTTATCACCATAAGGTTCTTGATGACATCATTCATTTTCTTTGCCCCTGTTGAAGGATTTATTTAAGCTTTTAGAGTAGATGGTTTTTAACATGGTATCAGAGCCAAAGAGCTCGAGTTCAAACCTCACCGTCATCCTGATAATTAAAATTGAAAAACATGTGTTGGACCTAAAGAAGGTCACACGTGAAGGGGCATGTTAGAGGATATATATATTGAAGTCACTCCCTCTCTGACAACTTAAGCTTTTAGAGTAGATGATAGTTAACAACCCCAATTTACTTATTGTTTCCCATTTTATTCCACTTCGAGTGGTTGTAAACTTTGTATATTTTGCCACTATCTATTGTCAGATCGCTTGATGTCAACTAGCTCATATCCATCCATTTCTGTTTATCCTTTTTTCCTTTACTCGCTGCTGTTTCTGATATTTTCTCCCCTTCTTTGTTTGATTACGTTAGGTAAGAGATGGATTTCAAAAGGACTCTGCTGAGTTCTTAGCTAATTTGTTTCTGATATGTTATTTTCCTTTTTATATTGACACATGCACACACGGATAATACACATGCACACACGGATATATATTATCAAGTCTCACAGGCTGTTGAACCATATATAAGGTATGGTTCTAAATAATAGCTTTCTGCAGTAGAAAATGTGGAGAAATAACCCCGCATACTGGAGCCAAGGAATCAGGTAAGATTTTTAAGTTGTCTTTCATGTCCTCTACCTGATCCATTAAAGTGCATTGTAAAATGTTCTCTTTTTGCTTCCTTTACTCCCTAGTGTCCTTCCTTCATAGGCTTGAAGGTAATATAATAATGACAAGAGAAACAATTACTGCCACTACTACTACTGTTGTGGTTAGTCCTAATTACAGAAAACTTGGCTCTGTTTACCTTTATTGTTTCTTTTTATTTATTTATTTTGCTATTTTGAAAGTTTTATGTACTATTTTGAATGACTATCATATTTTATACAGCCAATAGTTACATAACATTCTCACTAAAAAAGGCTAAAACTCTAGCTATTTATATACCCTTGTGCTTCAAAATTTTGAACACTACCATTTCAGAACACTGATAATAAATTTGCAGTGAACTTTATATCTTCTCACAATCATTAATAGGAGAAAAAATAGCACAATCTTAACTTATACCAGATACCCTTTGTTCAATACTCATCAACGTTTTGTCTGTGAAAAAGGTTATTAGTCTTTGATTCTTACCAATAATGCAGTGTTGGATGAAATAAAATCCAATGGCCCTAATAATCCATTTTAAAGTTCTCTCTTGTTAGACACCTTTGTGCTAAGTTGCCAAACATCTACATCCTTTATTTTTCAAAAAGCTACATTGTTGGGAAGTTCCAGTGATTTGGAAACAGAAGGGAGTTCTACCGTTTTCAGTGAAGGAAGAATTAATTGAACAAGCTAGGGTCTTTTTCTTATCGAATATGTCTTACAAGTGTTGATAATTCTTTTTTCTATGTAGTTAGAATAACTTCGGTTTCTGTTATAGTATGAGGTATTTTAAGATCTATAGTAACTCAGATTTCGCATTGCTTAGTTCTCTTGAAATTTTATTTTATTTATTTTATATATATATATATATATATATATATTTTTTTTTTTTTCTTTATTTTGCATTGGTGGTGTCTGCCCACCTGAGCAAAGTTGACATCAGCCAAATTTACATGAGCCGAGTTTGAACATGCTTATTAAGGGTTGCCACAAGTTCAAGCTGAGCTTGAGTACTCCTAACCTGTTTGAGCCAAGCCTGAACAGCCAACTAATAGGCTCGTCTCGGCTCAGCTAATATTTTTTTATTTTAACCAGCTCAGCTTATTCACTTGGAGCCTATTCATAGAATCTTTGCATATGAGGTATAATAGGCTCATTTCGAGGCAATATTGCGTTTTGAACACTTGAGCTATTTTTTTTTTTTGGTATTGTACCCCTTCTCTACTTGTCAAATCAGATAATTTCTTTAATTTTTTTCCTTACTTTCAATTGTAATTTTCTCCTGTGCCGCTGTTTTTCTTCTTTCTGGATGAGCAACTAATTGCATTCACTAAATTAATCTTCATGAAGAAAATTTTCCAAGGTCTCACAGAGACTGTTAGGTCATGAAAGAAAATTTTCCAAGGTCTCACAAAGACTGGGGTCATGAAAGAGGGAAACGCGCCTTTAATGAAATTTTACTTGTCACACACAAAAAAAAATAAATCTCTTATGAAATTGTGTACCATGTGTTTGGGCCTACTATAAAGTGTAAAAAATAGAAGGTTAAGGACAGTTGCCCTTTGAAATTCTAATGAAATTGTTATAGTGTCACCGTTAGCGTCTTTTGTTTTTTGGGGAGCGCTCCCTCTCAAGTGCGCCTTTAATGAAATTTTACTTGTCAGAGAAAGAGAAAAAAAAAAAAAAAAAAAAGAAGAGAGAAAAGGAAAAAAAAAAGAAAGAATCTCTTATGAAATTGTGTACCATGTGTTTGGGCCTACTATAAAGTGTTAAAAATAGAAGGTTAGGGACAGCAACATTTGATATGTTGCCATGACAGGAGGTTCACACAAATATACATTAAGAAGAAGACAAAAACAAGTGAAATCTAGCTTAAGCTGTTGTAGTACAATAATGCTTAAAAGTTCTACCATGGCTTCCAAAATATCCAACATTGCATCCAAAAAGTGTGCATATATTGTCTTTCTTCGTATCACACTTTGCTTATTTTACCTGCTGTACATCGAGCATGGTCGCTTAAGGAGCTTATTGACCCTGTCATCTGGGCTAGGGCATCAACCATGAATTTCTTTGTATTTTATATTACATAAACATGTTGATTTTAATTTTCAAAATATCAGATTTTTCTATAATTTTCTGTATTTTTTTTTTTTTTAAGTGGTAGTGACAATTACAGCTACAGTTATTTATTGTTGCAATTGTGGTGAAAGAAGAAATTGTAGTCTAAAGTGAGAGTTCCATTGTACAAACAAAATCCGTAAATGAAATAGGATGGCGATAAAAAAAAGTTGAAATAAAAGACCTAGGAATGAGCAAGGAACATTTTTATCCCTAACGACTAATATATTGTCTTTCTTTGTGTCACACTTTGCTTATTTCACCTACTGTACATCAAGCATAGTCCCTTAAGCAGCTTCTTGGCCCTGTCATCAGGGCTAGGGCATCAACCATGAATTTCTTTGTATTTTGTATTAGATAAACATGTTGATTTTAATTTTCAAAATATCAGATTTTTCTATAATTTTCTGTAATTTTTCATTTTTATTTTTTTAAGTGGTATTGACAATTACAGCTGCAGTTATTTATTGTTGCAATTGTGGAGAAAGAAGAAATTGTAGTCTAAAGCGAGAGTTCCAGTGTTCAAAAAAATCAGTAAATGAAATAGGATGGCGATAAAAAAAATTGAAATAAAAGACCTAGGAATGAGCAAGGAACATTTTTAGCCCTAACGACTAATGAACCTACAGACGGGGGCTCTTTTGGGGACTAGCCCATTTCCCACTACTCAATAGGTTAATTCCTCCTCACTCATAGTTGAGTGAGCCAGTGACATTTTGTACCCAGAACAAATGCGCTTCCAAGCTGCACCACATTCCTTCAATTGGCATTTCTCATTTTGATGGTTTAAATTTTCTATTTTAGTAATTTCAAAAATAAATTGTACCAATGCATTATACACTATAAAATTTTGTTTTGTAACTTGTAATTTCTACACTTATTACATAAATTTAATTTTGTGGATTATTATTATTAAGATCAGACAACTACAAAAGCTCATGGAAAACCTTAGAAAGTTATAATTTTTTTTTTTTTTTTTTTAATTGTTTATGCATTTATAATATACTATAACCATAATCATTTACTGAAGTCATAAGTTAAGTGAAAGCTAGAAATTAGTATGTTTTTACCGCCATAGCTAAGTGAAAGCTAGAAATTAATCATAAGTTAAGTGAAAGCTAGAAATTAGTATGTTTTTACCGCCATAGTGGCTTAAAATACAATCTATAGATTTAGGGGGAAAAAAAATACAATCTATATTCATGAAAATCCAGTAAAAATCATTATGGACCCATAGTTATTAGATTCTAGAGTTAAAATTCCATATTGGCTTGATTGGGCCACGGTGTGTTAGATTGAAAAACTTTCACGACCATGGTTTCTGATACGTTGTGTATGCCTGCTTTACTATGTCTGTTACACTGCGACTGTGTGCTGTATATGCAATTTGAAACCTTGGTTATATGTACTGAGCAATGTTATTAAAGTTGTCAGACATATTTCATTGAAAAACTGATGAGACTGCATTTTGGCACATGACATGCTAGTCTCTGTGCTCACGTTGCCGGACATGTTTGAGGAGCAAAGAAGCATTCTAATCTGGTTGCGAATCTTTTCCAGCAGAGCAAAGAGACGAAGGTATGCGGTAGTATATTAAAATTTGAATTTTGCTTTTCGCTTTTTCCCCTTTGTAAAATGTATGGTTAGGATTTTGTTTGTTTATCAATGAAAATAGTTGAGTTTTGCTGAACTTATTGTCTGATGTACGATGGCGGTTGATAATATTGGGTTTGCACATTCACATAAAAAGGTTTGCCTATGCTACGTAAATTATTATTAATATTGAAGCTAATATAAAATGTTTGATATGGTAGGATATCTGTATTGTTGTATCTACTGTACAAATATCTTTTTTTCAATGTTTTGTACAAATATCTTACTTTAGAAGTCCTTCTCTGTATTGTCGTACCTACTGTATAAATATATATATTTTTTTTAGGCAAGTGTATTGTACAAATATCTCACTTTAAAGTCCAGGGATGTAAACCATGCTCATCACTGTATACTCTATTTGGTTTATGGTCCCATTATGATTCAGTTAGCCTTTGTTTCTGTTTGACCAGATGAAACCAGCCATTCTAATAAATTGGACCTCCTGTTCTCCATCAATAGTAAAACAGTTGAAATATGCAATGCCAGAGTAATCCAAATTTACCTGACTGTAAGACTAGAAAAATTTGCATATGTTGTGTGCTCTGTTGATGTGCAAACTTCACCAAATGTGTCCTGCTTCCTTAACTCAGTATTAATTCTTAAAAAATATTCAAGCACATGATTGCTGGTATAGGTGAAATTTAGTGAAAGCTTTGTCTATTGGATAAGAGATATTTAAAGTGTGTTAAAATTTTAATACAATTGGCTTCTGAAATATGGTGGTTGGACTTGTAGGATCTTTGACCTCTTTTTCCGATGTGGCATAATGTATGAATTTTAGTAATTGCTCAAGTGATGCTTATTGTAATTTCTAGTTTATTACCAGCTATAAATTGTGGCATAATGTATGAATTATTACCATCTTTTTCCGATATGGCATAATGTATGAATTTTAGTAAATGCTCAAGTGATGCTTATTGTAATTTCTAGTTTATTACTAGCTATAAATTGTGGAACATCATTCAATATTCGGCATTGTGACACTGTAATAAGAAGTGTTGCCAGATGAGGGTGCTTTTGTTGCAATGAAAGAGAGTCTGGGCTTCTCTCAAACCAGTATTGGTCATGTTGTCACCAGGTGAGCTGGAGGACAGTAGTTGCGCATGGAGACATGTAAATTATGTAATAACATTGATGTTGCGTGGCTTGTGCCACATATCCTTTTGTCATCATTGTTGGATTTGTATGTTGGAGTTTGAGTGGTACTCGAAATATTTTTTGGAGCAGATTAAATGTTTCCTTTTGTGATGGTACTGATTATCTAACTAGAGTAAATTCTTACACTTAAGTGAAGTTATAGGTGGTACTATCACATTCTTTGATTCTAGTCTTTTTGCACACTACTCATTCTTGCTTGCTTACTGCGATATACATTAAAGTAGGGGAATCATAAACCAAAAAATTCAACTCTCTTTTGCAGGCCCTAACTCATTTTTCTTGGATGTTGCATAATTTGTTGATTCAGGTGATGTTGTGTCCGTAAGTATTTACCATTGGAGTGTGTTGTAAGTTGTTTTCTTCCTGATTGTTAAGTTTCAAAGGCCAAAAAAATTGTCAAACAAGCATCATATCTAGAAAATGCAGGTAAATTTAATTTCCGAGCACCATGATTGGATGTCTTTTGTTAGAGATTGAGTTTTGGTTGATGATGAGGTGCTTAAAAATCTATATAATTTGTGTGTGCTCTGAATGGGGAAAAAAAAAACTTTCTGCCAATGTTTAGTGGAAACAGGGAAAAAGAATTAGTGGAGAGAAGCCACAAAAGTTTAACTAATTAGAGTTCTACTGTGCCACAAATCCTAGATTGAAGAGTGATGAGTGATGGAACAACCAACCACCACTGCAATTCAACCTAAACACCCATACAAGGTTAGAAAATTAGAGATATTTTAGCTAGTTTGCTCCGAATGGTTCTGATTTTGTGAGTTGTGATCACTGCAGGGCTAAAAAGGGCAAATAACACAACCCACAAGGGGAGGTCAATTAACTCCACTTTTTGTCTCTCTGCAGAACAATGTCAGAAGTTTGCAGCAGTATTTAAACACCCTGGTACCGTATTTGTGAATACATACATGTAAGCCATTGGAGGGAAGCTTCATTCATTGCAACTGGTGGAAGAGAGTCAGTGATTGCCATTTAATACAAGGCGTTATATTTTATGTGGCGAAGGGCAGTTTTGACTTTTTAGTGCAAGTGTGCAACTAGCCAAAAGTGGTGTCGATCTTTACTTAAAACCAAGTTATCCTTCTATGCAAACCTTGGTTATCAATATTGATATTAACTGAGGGGTATTACATGAAATTATTAACTAATGTATGATTGTACTTGTTTAATCACGAAATAGTGGGTCCAGGTATTCTCAAGTGTTAGCATAAAAATCTTAAAAGGTCAAAAAATGTTAATTATAGTTTTGAGAGCATTAAAACCAGAAGTCATTAGAAGGTGGTTAAATGTTTTGCCATTTAGATGATACTTTTCTAATCCTCATGTACTCCATTCTCTTTTTATTGTGTGTTTGACAGGTTAAATTGGCAAAGCTGACTCAGGCCACTCGGCTCAAAAATCATTCCTCTCGTGACATACTTGTTAGACATTTTAATTACAAGAATTTTTTATGACATTGTTACACTTGCGCTGTAGCGAAATCTTGTAATTAAATGGGTAAGGTCTGAATGTCTGATGCTACATTGTATCACCTGATTTATTTATTTTTATAAAGTCCCGTTTAATCTCCCTCATGTTGGTGCAGACATGCTTCAATAGACCATAGAATACAAGAAGTGCTCATCTACAACAAAATTAGTCACACAGAATGAGATGAGACATTTACTGCTGCGGGCACACTCTTAAATAAATAGTTATGCCCCTATTATGTCTTTGTTATGCTCCATGAAGTAAATGGCTAATTAAATATATATTTATAATTATATATATATATATATATATATATATTTATGGCTAAATATATATTTTGTATGCACAATATCTATTTAGATAATGGGACAGGAAAACAAATAGAGGCAGCTATCAGCATAGCTCTCCAAAAAGATGGACCTAGCTTGTAAAAAATATTTATAATGTATTTTGTTTTACATATGTAACATGAGAATGCAACATGTGACATTTTTAAAGTGACATGTTGTAATGTTGCGTCTTCAAAACAAATGTGCTGAATTAGTGTTGTATTGTCAAAGTAATATTTTCGAAATAATGGTGTTGTATATGCACTAAAAAGCTTTTGTATTAGAGATGATTCTCTTTCCAAAATATGATGGTAATTAAGGATTCTGTTTCCCAAAAGATGGTAATTAACTGTAAATTCGTTAAAAGTAGTGCCTTAAAACCATTTTAGCATTTGATTGAGCTCGTTGCAGTTAAATATACATGTGTTGTACGTTGTTAAAACTACAGTGCCATATATACATATTTGGCACTGTCTACCTAAAATGTGGCAATAGGTATGAGAGACAATTTCTTTGAAGTCACGCAATTTTTTGTTACCTTAAGCAGAATGTGAATTGCTGCTGGAAACAGCTAGCTTTTCCTTGAGCTCTCCTAAAGTACGTGTCTTTAACTAAGTCCTTTGTCACCTTTCTAAAACCAACTCCCAAGCATGAACAAATTTTAAAGTACTTTTAATCTAACAACAATAGGACAGATACATTCATATATATATATATATATATATCAGTGCCTTTAAGGGTGCCAAACAGGCCTTAACCTGGAAATGTGCAACTTTAGTACATCACCACTTAGCTAGCAGTTATTGCCCCTTAACCATTAATGTAAGAGCTCTTCTCCCCTTTAAATTCTCCCCACCTGCCCTGCACTTTCTTCATTCACTCACTTACCTCTCTCTCTCTTTTGTGGTGAGTTTCACTGTTGGAACAAGGGGGAAAGAAATGGGGTTTCCAAGTTGTGTAATGGGTTCCATTGTTGTTGTTGCTATGTTTCTCTCGGTGGCTCATGGGGACCCTCTTGTTCCTGCACTTTGTATATTTGGGGACTCAGTAGTTGATGCGGGAAACAACAATAACCTCAATACACTAGTAAAGGCCAACTTCCCTCCTTATGGAAGAGACTTTGTCACCCACAAACCTACCGGGAGGTTCTGCAATGGAAAGCTAGCCACAGACTTCACTGGTAATTCTATTTCTCAAGAACCCAGTACCTCTCTCTCTCTGTGTTCATATATATATATATATATATATATATATATATATATATGTATGTATGTTGATTCATGTTTATTGTTTTGTTTACGCACAGCTGAGTACCTTGGGTTCACTTCATATCCACCACCTTACCTAAGCCAAGATGCCAAAGGGAACAGCCTCTTGACTGGTGTCAATTTTGCCTCTGCTGCTTCTGGTTATTATGACAGGACAGCTCAGTTATATGTAAAGAATGCCATGAACTCTCCTCTCTCTCTCTCTCTCTATATATATAAATACACACACACACACACACACACTTATATATGTGGTTAAGTATATATATATAGACTAATATTGGTGTCCATGTATGTATGTAGCGGTCCATTTCATTGAGCCAGCAGGTAGCATACTACAAGGAGTACCAAAGCAAAGTTGTAAGGATGGTAGGGAGAGACAGAGCGAATGCCATATTCTCAGGTGCAATCCACCTTCTGAGTGCAGGCAGCAGCGACTTCATTCAGAACTACTACATCAATCCATTTCTCAACAGAGCCTACTCTCCTGATCAGTTCTCAGACATTCTCATCAGATCCTATACTACTTTTGTTCAGGTCTCTTACTCTCTCTCAAATACTCTCGTGCTTCACTACAACCACTTACAAAATGATATCTACATATAAATTAGTATATAATATGATACACATATATAAATATTATATATAAATATATAAGATGATATACTTAATATACATCTGCATAGGACTGTTCGCCTGCTCATTGGTGCATGTGCAAAGAATTTATGAATTAATTAAAACATAAACTACTTTTTTAACTATCCAATGAAATTTGACGATTAATACTTGAGGTGTGCATGCATTTTCCTGCACACCAAAGAACAATTAAACATTTATGTACATCTGCGTTTATAGCATCTATCCGCTATCTAGTAGTATGTGTGTATACATGTAATGTGTTGTTGCTACTTTGTTAATGAAAGGATATATTTCATAAGTATGTTTGAAATGAACAACATTACTTTGTGACAGAATCTGTATGGACTGGGAGTAAGGAAGATAGGAGTGACAAACCTACCACCAACTGGATGTTTGCCAGCAGCCATCACCCTATTTGGCTCAGGAATCAACCAATGCGTTCCGAGACTGAACGGAGATGCCTTCTCCTTCAACAACAAACTAAATAGCACATCTCAGGATCTTGTAAGCAAGCTCCCTGGTCTCAAGCTTGTGGTCTTCGACATCTACCAGCCTCTCATGGACATGATCACTAAGCCCACTGACAATGGTAATTAATCATCTTTATTTATTTTCCACAACTAAAACCAATATATGAACATGTCATGAAACTATAGTTGCAGCATCCAAACTAAGAATTTAAAGGAACCTGCCAATTATTGAATTGACCGGGTGATGATAAAGACTATTTTTTGGAAAATCTAATGCCTTAAGAGTACTTTAAAGCTAATCTTACCCAAATAAATAAAAAATAAACCAAAATTCAAGTCCAAGCATTTAAACATATTGATTAAAACTGTGTGGTGGTGGAACAAATTGACAGGGTTCTTTGAATCAAGGAGGGCTTGCTGTGGGACGGGTACGATAGAAACATCTCTGCTTTGCAATTCCAGGTCTATAGGAACATGCTCCAATGCTACAGAGTATGTGTTCTGGGATGGTTTCCATCCCTCGGAAGCTGCTAACCAAGTCCTGGCACAGGATCTCCTTGAACAGGGATTCGACCTCATCTCTTAAACAAATATATATATATATATATATGCCCATCACACTTGAAACTATTCTCTACTTTTCACTTGTGTCTTCTACTTACATTTGTAGATCTTGTTAGAAATACATAGATTATCTGGGTGGCTTTAGTTTTTCTAAGAATTTAGGTTCTTCAAGTTTTAATTATATGCGTGTGTAAACCTCCTTAGCTCGGTACACAGAATCAGATGATCTATGTTGCTTTCATTTAATAAAACTTATCATGTTAAGCCTCGTATCAATAAAAAATAAAACTTATGGCTGCACTGTATAAGAATAGTTAATTTTGTTGCTTATATGTGTGTGTGTATTATATATACTGAAGCAAATGTTCTATTGAATGCAAACTATGACATGGTAATTGGATCATGTTTATACTTGGAAATCTTGTGATTTGTGTCTTAATATGCCTCCGTGATATCATATGACAAGGCCTCACACGTTTCAATTCCAATTCACTGGAATATTAATTATATTATATTTTTTGTCCCTAAATTCAAGTGTAATTTCAAGCTCATTATAACAAAATAGTGTTTAATTCTGGACCCCTCTGAATAAATCATTAAATTTTAGCAATTTGGGCCTATTTTCATTCACTTTGCACTTTTTTCTTAAGAGACTTTAAAGATGCCGGAAACATAATATTATATTATTCGAAATATTTTGAAAGCACGGATTTTGTGCACCAAGAACGCCACTATTTTGATACAAATCCCACAAAACCCATAAAACAAAACAAACTTAGTCCCTGTTTGGGAAGTGTCAGCTCCAAGTTCCAACTTGGGTTTTGTTCTTCCAAAGAAACATTGTGAGAAAGTGGGCTTGAAACCATGATCTCCAAAAAGGCCCGTTGCATATAATGTTTGGGCTCCAAGGCCTGTGGTCCATAAACAAAAAATATGCAGTATATGGTAGCTTTAGTTTCTCGAGTGCTCAACATGGCTTAGCCCATCCACCATTTTTGATACATCAAGAATTCTAGCCCACTTAACTGGTTATGAAAAATAAGCTAGTCATAAATATTTATTAATTATTGTTAAGAAGTATACTCACGCGTTTTTTATTATAAAAACTTGAATACTCACTTGTTTCTGAGGCTAGTTTGGTGCAATGAAATAGAATAAAAGAAAGTGGAGTAAAATAGAATAGTTTTTTTTCTATTCTCGTACCAAATACGCAATTTTAAAGTTGTAATCATCATTCCCTAATTGAAAAATGGCCATTCCATCAAAATCATTCCACCTTCAAACAAAAGGAATGACCATTCCATTTCCACTTTTAAAAAATAGGGGCTAAAAAAAATTAAAAAATAAAACTAAGTCCCTAACAAATTACAAACTCACATCAATCTTGTAAACACACCGTCGAAGAACAAGGAAGAAAGAAGCAAAGCCGGCCCCGACGAGCAAGAAGAGGGTTTGATCCAGTGATGAAGTGGACTGAAACGGTGGCGACTATGAATGATCTGGACCAGTTTGCTGAAAGTCATCAGAGAACGTCACCAGAAAAAATGATCGAAAAATTCGTAGGGCGAGTGAAATCTACACGCAAAACTTCAGGTGGCGCATGAGCATTCCATTTTTACATATTCCATATTTGTAACCAAATGATAGAATAAGAATCATCATTCCCACCTCCATTCTCTTCTCATTCCATTCCCACCTCCATTCCCATTCCATTCTAATTCATTCCACCACACCAAACTAGCCCCAAGGGTATTTAAACCTTGGACTTTTTACTTTAGTCTACAACCTTTGTTGATAAATGAGCTATTCAGATTGAGTGAGATAAAATGAAAATAAGAATGATTTTAATTTTAATCATATTTTTTATATTTGCTCCTTTCCAATTAATAAGTTGCATATTAAAAAAAAAAAAAAAAAAAAGTACAATACTTAGGTCCTCACTAGTGAGGATTTACAACATAGTCATCGTTGATGTGAACCAATAATAAATGGATATGTTCTATTTTAATTACTAAATCATAGATGGTAATCACATCATTATCTCTGATTAGGTAAGTGAATATTTACCCACCATCTTTGATTTGATAATTAAAGATCACATGTTCATTTATTATTAGTCCATATGTATATTGTACATCCTCCCTAATAAGTACCTAAGCATTATATTGTCCTAAAAAAAAAAATTAACCCATTTAAAAACCAAACTTTTTTGGGTTATAAGAATGAGGTTAATCATATGCTCGGTAACTTGTAACTTGTTAATTACTTAAGTTTATGGACTCTTTCTTCCATGTTGCTATTTGAATACGGTCATATTTGTAAATCTACACTGATAAGTTGTCATTCTTTTATTTTCTTTTTCTTCCTATCATAAACTAAAATTGTCCCAAATAAGTCTAGTCTCTAATTCTACAATTAGTCAAATTATTATTATTATCCACAACAAGAATGTTAGTGGTTAATTGTTACGGGGAAGGAGGAAGACTCAAACAGGAACTCCAAGACAGAAGCAACTCAACCATTCAACAAACTTTTGCTATTAGTCAAATTAGTTTAAGGTTATGTATGGGGGGAATAAAATTGGAACTTTAGAATTGAAGTAAAGTAACTCAAAAAAATTGAATCAATTTTTTTTTTTTTTTTTCAAATCCAATTTGAAAGGCTCTAATTCCAGCTGCCAAACATAGCCTAAAGATCAATTGAATTATTTCCCTACACCTTAGTATAATGAAGCACCATCGTTGACGCTATAGAAGGCTTGATCCACGGATCTGGCTAGTGGCTGCTTCAACACTCCAGTCTCCAATCCATTTATCCAGTATCAAGGTTTTATTTATTTATTTATTTATTATTATTATTTTTAAATAAAAAAAACACCTTGCAAAAACTTTATTGGTGTTTGATCTAACTTTAGGTGTGTTGATTATAAAACTTGTAAATGCCAAGTCATAGACTTTTTTTTTTTTTAATTATTATTACTTATTTATTTATTTTCCCACAAGTAAAAAAATATATTTATTGATTAGAATCAGAAATTACATCCAAACGAGCTTTATGTAAAACAATTTCTCGGAAATTATCATCCCATAAACATGTATTTTTCTCTTTTAAAGCATAAATAGCCATTGCATGGGTAACCTCATTCCCTGCTCTAGGCGTATACACCAAATCAAAATCAGGGTGATAATGAAGCCATTCACGGATATCTTCTACTAGAAGGCTAAGTAAAAGAGATGAAGACACATCCAACATCGCAGCCTTAACAATGACCTCTGCATCAATCCCAAACACAATATGACTGTAGCCCCAATGAATAACTTGGTCCATAACCTTTCGAAGCACCAAACCTTCAGCCACTAACGGATCTGAAACTCTTTGAAAGAAAAAAAGATGCCAATCGCAACACCTTTCCCCTATGATCACGCATAACCATTCCACCTCTTGCCTCACAGAATACTTTGCAAAATGATGCATCAGTATTAACTTTAATCACGTCTACAGGAGGAACTTGCCACCTAACAGGATTCCATAACTGATTTGCCCTGAACAGTGTGATCTCATAGTAGCAAAAGGAGTAACAGTACAATTAAAAAATTCAAAACAATGAGTTTCTCCAATTCTAACTATCTCCATTGTATTCCACCATTTTTGCTCGAACACCCAAGCATTATGCGCCTTCTAAATCTGCTAACAAAGAAAAGCAACCATACTCTTCATCGAGTGCTCCTTTGATCTCCACCATTTATCCCACTGTCCATGGCCAACTTCCTCCCCATCTAATAAAAGCGTAGAAAGCTTCTAAACCAACTTGGCTCTTGGACACCTATTAATACTTATTTATTACATTATTGTTATTATTATTATTATTAGTTTTTTTTTTTTTTTTTTTTTTTTTTTTTTTTTTGTTAAGAATTATGTCTCAAACATATATATATTTTTCATAATTTATGTCACGACCCTAAACCGTAATCCAGGTTGTGAATATAAAACAGAACAAAGAAATGCTCGTATTTAGAAATGTCTAACAGAGCCCTGGAACAATGTCAAAAAAATTTTAGATAAAACTTTAATACTCAAGGCTGATAATAAGAAAATCCCTTCTTTCAAAAGTCAAGTTAAATAAAGTACCATGTCCCAACACGCATGTAACGACCCACTCCACCACATGGTATGATATTGTCCGCTTTGGGCTTGAACCCGCACGATTTTGCTCTTGGGCTTTACCCCAAAAGGCCCCATACCAATTGGAGATGACACATTTACATATAAGCACTTCACCTTTCCTCTACCGAGGCGATGTGGGACTGTGCACCCGTAGTTCGCCAGTGTGGTAGCCTGACAGTGTCTCTTACACCCGCCCACTGCACATCCGCCCACAAGGTCATCACAATCCACCCCCTTGGAGGCCCGACGTCTCCGTCGACACACTACTGGCTGGGTCAGGCTCTGATACCATTTGTAACGACCCACTCCACCACATGGTATGATATTATCCGCTTTGAGCCTGAGCCCGTACGAATTTGCTCTTGGGCTTTACCCCAAAAAGCCTCATACCAATTGAAGATGACATACTTACATATAAGCACTTCACCTTTCCCTCTCCCAAGCGATGTGGGACTTGTGCACCCGTAACTCGCCAGTGTGGTAGCCTGACAGTGTCTTTCGCACCTGCCCATGGCACACCCGCCCATAGGGTCATCACAATCCACCCCCCTTGGAGGCCCGACGTCCCCGTCGGCACACTTCTGGCTGGGTCAGGCTTTGATACCATTTGTAATGACTCATTCTACCACATGGTATGATATTGTCCGCTTTGGACCTGAGCCCGCACGGTTTTGGTCTTGGGCTTCACCCCAAAAGGCCTCATACTAATTGGAGATGACACACTTACATATAAGCACTTCACCTTTCCCTCTCCCAGGCGATGTGAGACTTGTGCACCCGTAGCTCGCTAGTGTGGTAGCCTGTCAGTGTCTCTCGCACCCGCCCACGGCACACCCGCCCACAGGGTCATCACAATCCACTCTCCTTGGAGGCCCGACGTCCCCGTCGGCACACTTCCGGCTGGGTTAGGTTCTGATACCATTTGTAATGATCAATTCCACTACATGGTATGATATTGTCCGTTTTAAGCCTGATACCATGTGGTGGAGTGGGTCGTTACAAATGGTATCAGAGCCTAACCTAGCCGGAAGTGTGCCGACG